TGAAAGAGAACAAAAAGAGAAATGTATTAGAGATGGATGGGATTGTATCTGGAGTTCTTTAGTGTGGACAGTGTGGCTGGCCCGTAATCAAAAAATTTTCCAAGGCAAAGAGATTAACCGAGAGAAGATGTTGGAGCTCATCCAATTAAAGTCATTCCACTGGTTCACAACAAAAAAAGAAAGGTATGCCTTTACTTTAACTGACTGGTTTCTTAATCCAGTTGCATGCTTGAAAGATAGTCGTAGGAAAAGAAGGGTACCTAATGAATATCTATAGGAGGGAGGGTTTGTTGATGCTTTGGAGTTGTAGTCTATGGTTTTTGCTTTGGAGGTATGAATTGCAGTATAATGGGGGCTCACAAAGGTTATTGAGCAATTATTGACTGTAGTAGTTTCAGCCATAGTCAATGCATGATCAATGTCTCGTGGATCTGATGGGGTTGAACGAGTGAGGGTTTGTTGATCTATACAGGGAGATATGATGTAAAGGCAAAAGATGGCAGAATCCTCGTTACGGACATAGTATCGACACTTTTTTAAGGTGTCGACACCTTGTATTATATTTTTGATTATCATGGTTATGGAGTACCCCTTGTATTCCATTTTATTAATAAATATCATTTTCGCTGTTAAAAAAAAAAAACTTTTTGTGATCCGAACCTAAATTCTGAAAATATTTTGAAAATTCTTCAACAATTTTAGAGGTTACTAATAATCCATATTGTTCTAGGAATCGATGAGCATGTTATAAAGAACTTACCCACTGATTGAAGCTGTATACTACAAATAAAATGCCAAGACTGTATTATGTAGCACTTTCCTTAACATCATCCGCATAGCTAGCCAGGGGAGGGATGGAACCGTCAAGTATTCAGATATAGAGGAGGGTGGCCTATCCAGGAGGTACTTCATCCATCCACTTCTTTTCTTTGTTTCATCTGGCACTCCCGTGGTGACTACATTGCCACTCCTCTTCCATTCAAACCCAACTTCTGCCATGCCTTAGTTTTATTTTCCCTTTTTTCATTCTAAAATATTTTTCACTTCATGGGCATTAGGAAATTTTAGAAAGCTGCCATCACCATGATTATTTACACTCTCTGGAGCGTAAATACTAAGGCGCGAAGAATTGCAGCATTTACGGGAGGGTACTGAAATGATAAATCTCTGCTTTAATCCATTATCCAACAATTTTAATGTTTTATTTCATTTTCCTTGAGCAAATGAAATAAAAATGTTAAGACTTTGTTAACTCATCTTGTTTTACTTAAAAACTTTGTCTTTTGGCCCTAATGCAGAATTCATCCGTAAAACAACTACATTTGTTTCCTGCAGGATGTCCTGACTCCTAACTCTATCCTTGAAGGTTGCCACCAAATCCTATTTCTCAGAACCAAAAAATTATGTTCAAGGACAATTGGATGGTCTTGACATTGTTGCATTAATGCTGCACTTTGCATCAATAAGTATAGCCTATCTTGTATACTAGTTTATCTCTAAATACAAAAGGCTAGATAGGAATTAAGCAACCTCTTTATTACATGGTAATGAGTATTATTTGAATACAATGATAGAATTAATAGAGGTATAGCACTCAAAGACAATCCACACAATCAACTATTAAAACATAAAACATAGCTAGTTCAAGTCTTCCAATGATAAACGTTTTTGCTTCAAAAACGTGACTGGAGGTACTTGACAACATTCGGCTCTAACATGAAGGCCTTGGTGAGAACATCAGGATTAATAGCTGGATTGGATCCAAAAAGGGCATCGGCGATTGTAATTGTGCCCGGATTCTGGGTACTAAAAGC